TTTTTTTAAAAAAATATTAAACAAAATTAATAATTGTTTAGTTTTCTTTTTTAGACAGGTCAGGTCAGGTCAGGTCAGATTAAATGTATATTTAATTCAGGTTAATTTTATGTCTGATCCGACCTGACCTGTTCAGAGCTTTACTATTAGATGAGCCTTCATTCTGTTAGATTGAAAAGCTGTATTACACAAAAAAACTATTAATTTTACTAGCGAATATGAAAGTACGTCTCGCATAGTATTTAGACCACTAAAGCTAGATTAAAGTAAACTGGTCAAAAGTCATGTAGAGTAATAAATCCATATTCTCACAATTTCAACAAAGCTGCTTTAGCAGAATGTGATGGGAATCAGAAGAGGAATAGGATTTATTATATGTTTTAGCTACAGTAAAATACAGCTCTAACCATATGTACTGGGATTGTTTTTCAAAAAAGAATGTCAGGCTGATTGTTCCACTATTTGAAACAGTAACTGGTAACTCACATGTCATCATTTTTCATAAGTATATTATATCAGCTATGAAAAAACATTTTTAAATAATAATAGCTGATTTTAAAAGGATAATATTTAATCACATAAATCAATAATTGCAATGACTTTTCAAATGATAAATGGTATTTGTACGTTATCTTGGCCAACTTAAAGTTCTGACCTCAATCCAATTGAGAATCTTTAGGCTGAAGTCAAAAAAATATTCGTATATATAAAAAACTATCATCTAATCTTGATAAACTTAACCAATACACTAAAAAAATGTGAAAAGAAATTCTAAAGCATACTATCAAAAATCTAGTTAATAGTATGTCATAATGAATTTAAACAGTGATTACAGCAAATGGAAGCTCAACTAAGTACTAGTTACTTAGTATAATATATAGACTTTTACCTAATCTAAATAAAATATTAATTGACCTTTTATTATTTATACTAAAAAATTTTAAGTTTTATATTAGATGAATTAATTTGCAAAAACATTTGTCTACTTTTTGTATTTAAAATTAAATTCTAAAAAGTTTATTATAGATTAATCTTAAAATAAATTTTTTAAAAATTACAAATTTTTAGCTTCTAAGTAACATTAAATTATTATATAATTAAAAGATAAAAACTTATTATAATAAATTACATATTTATATAATTAATTTAAAAAAAAATTCTTTAAAAATATTAATTATTTATAAAAGTAAATCAGAAAAGAATTTATAGTAAATAAGCAGAAAAATTTGCCAGCGAAATCCCATAATCTAAAGGATAAGTTTAATTATATTGAGAACTTTTAAAATATAGTTAAGAAATTTAATTAGTTATTATGATTACTTATTAATAGAATTATAGAAGAATTATTATGTTAGCTTTTATTTTTATTTTTATTTATAATATTTATTATATAATATTAATTGAAATAATATTTGACTTAACAATTATATTTTGATGAAAATACTATTATTAGAACTGTCTTATTGAGAGCTTTTCAACAAATATAAATTCAAAGTTATTAGACTAATAAAAGCGGAGATAATTTGAAAAGCGTGATGACTATTATAATTTTACAGATTACTACTAAATAAAGTTATAATTTCTTAAACTACAACCTAACAATCAAAATGACCGAAATTTTAAAAATAATAATAATGTTAATAACTAAGTTTATATAGTTTCTTTAGTTTATTTAGTTAAATTGTTTAAATTAATTAACATAGTTAATGAAGTTTATAATGTTTCTTTAGTTTTAATAGTTTTACTTTATTTTAAATTATTAATAGAAGTAGATCAAATATTTTATATAAATAGGATAGGAAATTGCTATAGTAAAAGATAGTTAGTTAGTGAAGTTAGAAAATTAGTTAAGTTTATAATTAGTTAATTAGAGAATTAATTGTGAATTATTCTGATAAATTCATGAACAAGAGTTTATTTAGTTTATTGAATCATATTGATTATATTGATATACTTATGTTTTATTAATAAACCAAACATTATCCTTATAATATTAATCTATTAAACTCATGATCTAAATCCAATCTATCATATTATATTTGAAGTATTCATATGTATTTCTAATTTATATTTATATATCCTTAACATTTTCTGTATTTATAAATTGATATATTGTTAATTTAATAGTTTTATTAATATGAATAAGTTTTTAAGATTATTAAATTAAATCATTATCCTTCAGATACCTATAACTTTGCTATATATGTTAAAGTCTATTTTCAATCAGTAGACTTTGTAATCAATTTGTATAATAATGTAAAATTTAATAAATTGATTTTGGTAAAACATATTTTATTTTATTTGAATTAAAAGTAAAAATATATATATATATAAATAATGTGAATATAATAGTAATAATTAGAATAAATAATATAAAAAAGATAGAATATTTAACTTGTTAAAATATTTATTTTATATTTTTTTCAAATAAAAAAAAAATTATCATATATTATTTAAATTAAAGATATTTACCTATCTTAACTATTTTTTAAACAATTTTGAATTTTAAAATATTTGAGATTAAGATTATGTTTATATTAAAATAATTTTCTAATAGGTTTAAATTATTTTATCATTCTATAATTATATTTTGTATTTATTATTATTATTTGAATGAAAAATAATAATTTAAAATTTATCAAATTTTAATGATTAGAATTAGATGTATAATAAAATTTAAAAAATGGTTTAATTTTTTAATTTATTTAATTATACTTTTTCAATATTATAACATTCATTAGTAATAGAAATAATAAAAAAAATAGGAAATTCATTTCAGTATTTAATTAAATATTTACTTTTTATTAGTATAAACTTCTACTTACTGTAATATGTCAAATTAAGAAAATTAAATGATTGGAAATAAATTTTAAAAGGAATTTAAAAATATGTGAAAATATAAAGGAATGCATCCTTATCTAACATACTTTTGGATTTAATTAATCTAAAAAAGAATTTAAACAGTAACTATACGTGATATCAAAAATTTGAACTCCTAAAATCATTTTTGTTACGCATAGTAAAAAATTTTCTATGATTTTGAAACCGCCAACGCATGTTTAAACAAAAAACGCAAGCGTACGTTTTTCTAAACAATGCATAACCCGATTTTTTTTTTTTTAATAAAAAAAAAATATATTTATTTACAGAAAAGTTTTTTTTTTTTTTTTTTAAAAAAAAAAAAAAAACAAAAAAAAAACTATATATTATATTTATAATAAGCTGTCTGTGTGTTTGTTTTTAGGTGGAAACGAAAAACTAAAACGAAATAATTTTTTTTTTGTTACAAAAAAACTTAATGATTGAACATAATTATATAAAGAAATTAATCTAATACTTTTTTTATCGTCATGTTAAGGTGTGTTAATCGTAATAATTTGATCTTTTTCGTATGTTTTCGTATATTTTTGGATAGAGTTTTTTTTTTTGGATTTTGAAAAAGAAAATATAATACATAAAAAAGGGAAAAATTAAAGATGGGAGAAATGTCCCTTTTTTTTAACGAAAAAAAGAAGAAAAGGAAAGTCAACGATGAATCATTTCATCTTTTCATTAATTCGTTGCTTTTTTTTTTTTAAAAAAAAAAACCAGCTATAATGTATGAAAAGTCTACACACAATCTATATATACATATAGATTTGTATATTATTGTGATTTTTAGGAAGCACATTTATAACGTGCTTATGTAGAGACAAAAAAAAACATATTTTACAAATCTTAATGACGTAAAAAAATTAAACGTCTCTTTTGTTGGTAATTAATTAATTTCTTTTTGTTATATGAGAAAATTTTTCTTACAATACATATTAATAATTATGCTGCGCCAACCAGCTTCCATAGAACAGCTTCATAGCAAAACACATATTGTCTCAACGTTTGAACCATACTTAATCTTTGTTCTCTGAAATTCATTACGACATTTTGTATAAGGTCTTGACTTATATCAAGGCCTTGATTTCGAATGTTGTTTAACAAAGATAAAGATGAATCAATGGTACAGAATGCGCCCGTCCGACCGCATCCGGCAGAGCAATGAACTATCATAGGTCCAATCACATTTGAAGATTCACATTGTTGAGCTGCTAGCGATTGCGTGAAATTCGCTGTATCTATAAGATCGAGGATGCGATTAGGTGAATCTGGAATGCCAAAATCAGGCCAGCCGAGGAAATGCAATTGCGTAATTTCACGAGCTGGAATTTCTGGATGATCTGTGTGTGATAAACGGAATTTACGAGTAATGATCGTATTGTCTTTTGAATTATTTGAAGCTTCTGAAATCAAGATAAGTTCAATGGATCCATATCGACATGGTTTAACAACGCAATCAGACCAATACCGATGACATTGGATTCTACCCGCCTCCTCTTCCTTTGTCAACATCACAATCACACGAGAATTCTGCTCCCACACAACCTTCCAGAAATCATCATATGTGGCTGGTAAAGGACCTTGTGTTGCAATATAACGTTTATCACACCCTTTAGCTTGAACATAACTCGCGTTTACATAGTCACAATCTCCTTCCTTGCATTCACCAATTTTGACACGAGCATGATCATAAGGCCAAATATTATTATACCGATTTTTGGTACCCTTTTCCATGCCAGCGGATATACTATAAGGATTCTCGGCTGTTGCTTGATTTAAATTAAGCAACATTAAAGATTGTAAACGTTTCTGTTCAGCACGTTCGATGTCCTTTTGATTCGAGGGTAAAAATGATCAGTTAGTCAAGTACGTAATAATGATTGATCTCGTGATTGTAATGAATCATATCCTTACCTGAAATGATTCGGCCAATTTCATCTTTGCGTTTTCACCATAAACAATTTCTCTCATGAAAGATGGTATTTGAGATTTATCAAAAACAACCCCTTCGGGAAGACGAACGGGTATCGTTTCTGTTATACCAGAACTTAATTCAACGTTTTGTCGAATATTTGTGAAAAATGGATTAACTCCTACAGCCTCAATAATGGGCGTCGGGCATGTGAAAGGACCCGACTTATGGCTAATTGTAGATCTCTTACGAGGAAAAGTGGATGATGATAATATCGCACCATTCACGCTCTTTTCACACAAATGTTCGTACTTGCTATAAAAAGCGGCGAACCCACCTATAAAGCGACAAATAATAAAAAGAGTTAGTTGCGTCTTTCCAGAGCATTACAAAAAGAGAAACAATTCGTACCTTTCAAGTAACCAACTTTTGCTTTGCAGGCTGGCGATTTGAACTTTTTACACAGATGGAACAAAGGACAACTTTCCGATAAAGAATCGGAGTCATTATCATATAAAACGATATTTTCATATTTTGTCCATTCCCTAAAGATACCCTTGTCCAAATCGCTAACTAAAGTTTCCGTAATCTTGTCAACAGAAAAGGAGCATCGTTTTAACAAGGTACTTGGAACACAAATATTTAAAGATGATTTGATATGATTGGCTGTAAACATAGAGAAAGGCCTTAAATCAAGCAATAAAATGTTATTTTGCGAAGATTGTTTTTGATTAATAGAATCTGCGATGGAATCCACAGAATATTCTTCAAAGGAGGATGTCGCAGGGGTGAAAGGTGATAAACCAGGCATTGAGTAAGGTTTATTTTTGCTAACCGAAGGTAAACTTGAAGGTTTCAATGTTTGTCTTCGTTGTAAACTCATATTTGGTAGCTTTTGGGCGAAGGAACCATTTTTGACCCACCCGGGAGTGACCAAATTGTCTTGAAATTTTTGATTCATCGTGGAATATCCAGGCGTCATGGGCAAACATGGTGTGATGCTTATATTTTTTACAGATGCGTAAGCATTGCCATTAATTCCATTTGTAATATTATTGACGTTCGAATTCCTTCCATTAAATTGAAAATTGTGTTGACCATGCTGCAATTGTAACTGTTCAAGGAAAGGGGCGTCACAATCAACCGCATCATAATAAGGAGTTTGCACTGGGGAAGATTTTGATTTTATTTCAAAATACCCTGGCGAACGGGCTTTATCTGAAGCCATATATGAACCAGGCATTATATTAAAATATGAAGATTGATCATTAGATTCAAATTTAGGAGAACTACAGACGAGATTCATTGTAAAAAAATAAAATAAAATAAAAAAAGGAAAGAGAGAAAGAGAAAGAAGTGAGAGAGTGTGTGCGTGTGAGAGAGAGAAAGATAGAAAGAGAGAGAAAAGAAAAATTTAAATATAAATAGTTGAAATTAGGAAGGAGGGTGAAAAAGTGAAGGTATATCGCGCGAAAAAAAAAAATTATTCTTGATGAAAATATATTCTTTTTCATATATTAAAAGAGAATAATATTATCGCAAGTTTTAAAATATTTAAGAGAGAAAAAATTGACGGTTCTAGGAGGAAAGGAAGATATTTATAAAGACCTGGAAATAATGTTGATTGATTATTCCTTCGAATATTTTTTAAAAAAAAGGTTTGGGACGTGGTTTAAAAATCCACCCAAAAATAATTGATTATAATTGTACGTTATATTTAGCGATATAATTAAGCAAAGAAATATACATCAAACTTTTGTAAACATATAGATATATAATATATATATATATATAAAAGGTTTTTGCAATAAGGAAAAAATGGTTGAAATTGCAATAAAGGAAGATTTATTATGCAAGTCTCGACCTGGTATTTGTACCTTTTTTTTATTATTATTATTATTATTGTATACAGAACGCCTAATGTGGTTTCGGAGTGCAATGCTGAATAATCAAATTGAAACAAGTTCCGGTCGATGTATAAGACCAGAGAAGTGCGAAGATCCAAAGAATGATTTAATACATTAAACTTTAAAAAAGAAAAAAAAATTATACGGTTTATATTTTAGAAATAATTTTTTTTTTTGACAGAATGTGAAAAAAAAAAAAACGACAAAGTATTTGAATTTGAATTTATTTAAATATATATATATTTGTTTATGTATGTGTATCCATTTTTTTTTTTTTTTTTTTTTTTTTTTTTTATAGAGACGATTATTTCGAATACCTTTTAGGTTCGCATTTTCTTGCATATTTTGTTATTGTTTGTTGCCATCTTTGTTGCACAATTAATTTAAAAAAATTATTAAATGAGGTGGTTATTATATACATCATGTGGATGACTCAAACAAAGGAACCTCAAATTGATCCGACCATGCGGAAAATTATGATGTTATGGCTGACTCCTAAAAAAAAAAAACCACCTTTTTGGCATAGGTAAGACCTATGGGCGCGAATCAAGGGCGAATTAAGGAGTCACAAGGGGTTGAACGCGGAGAAAGCCATGGTTCGAGACCCAACACTAACTATGATTATGAGATTGATTATGATACGAAATAATTAAAATAGGTCTCTGCGTTTAGATACATACATACAGACTTACAGACAGTTCAGTCCTATATAAACTTTAATGCATATGTAGAAATTATATTAACTTTATATTAACATGCATATTGTTTATGAATGATAGACCTTTGTATAATCTCAAAGATCGATGGTTTTTTTTTTTGATATTTATTACCACTTTCCTTTTCGATGATATTTAATTTAGTGCAAAAGTCGAAGAGAGAGAAATTTCTGTTAACCTGTTGTAACCATATCAGGCAAATCTTCTTTTTTTTAAAAAAAACGACGTTAGCAGAATGAATACCTTACATTTGAAGTTAAAAACATCCAATTTTCAATCACTCATTGACTTTCCACAAATACTGAAGAATGTTAATTCAATCTGGAAAAGAAAATGTTTAAGAGAATTGATACAGAATTCACGAGGAAATGGAAAACAAATAAATAATACAAGTATTTCGACTCTTAACGCGTTCTTTTCTTTGGAATCAATTAATCAAGAGAAATTCATTTTGGTAAACAAGTTTTTATTATTTACAAATTAAGAGCAAAACAAAAATGCATCATGATATCAATAAAAATGGAAAATGTTTGATTCCTATGAAAATATTACGCCGAAACATCGTTGATGCAAGTTAGTATGATCTTAATGATTGATGTGATGGGATTCAAAAAGCGAGGGTAAAAAAGAAATTTAATATAAATAAGAGGGTTGTATCCTTGACAAAGACAATCAACAAAAAAATTTTTTTTTGATTGATAAGGCGTACCAACCCTTTTCTGGTAATTACGATCGGCATGTGATAATTGAAATTGATTAAGATTACGTATCCAGTAAATAAATGAATGAATCTAGAGCCTCTGTTGATGACATCAATGATCTCAACATTCAATTAGCGAAAAAGGAAAGAAAAGGTTGAAAAAAAAATTGCGCCCAAGTTTTACCGACTCCCGAAAGATAATGATTGATATAAATAAGTCAAAGATTTTATGACATCATTTTAAAGATGACGTCATAGACCAGGATGTTGGATCGGTAGCACGTCGTGTAAACGTACCCGATCCAACAGAAAAAAGACAAATTAATTACATTTGTGGGGAAACGATAAATTACGACAATACATATCCGTTGAAATTGTTGGTCCGGGTATGAAACTGGGTCAATCGTTATGTAACATCCAATTTTTGTTTTTGTATATATTGCGGAAAGTCATTAATCCATTTCGGATTGTTAATTCTCCTAAATAAAAAATTGGTGAGATGATGCGATTTTGATTTGCAAACTCCGCGATGAATCTAATACATCGTACGAGAAGTACAACTTTAAGCACAATTGAATAGATATTTGGTTAGGTTTTGTAAATCATTATTTATTTTGTCAACCTTCGTTGAAAGGCAAGATTCTAAGATTTACATGTAAACATTTATTGGGAGAACAATAGGGTTGATTTCTTTGCATTACGCGAGACGAAAACATTTGACAAAAAGTCAAATAATCATTTGTATGTGAATTTTCAATCAAAGTATAAATTACTGTGTAATCGCATCTGTCAAAAAAAATTTTTTTTTTCATTGAATTGCGTGGATTGTGAGAAAAATCAACATTTACACAAAATTTTGTACTACAAAATATAACAATATTAACCCGAAAGAAAAATCTGAGATACAATCCTATTGTTTTTTTTAAAAAGAAACTGTATGGCAAACAATAGCCCCGAAATCTTTTGCACGCCAAAAATTCGCGGGTCATTATTTGGACAGTTAACCCGCATAATTTTCAGGGAAAGAAGAATTACATTGTATTCAATAATTTTCCTGTTTCTCCATTGTATCCAACAAAACAAAATAAAATAAAAACGCACGGTTATCCCATTCATAATGTTCGTGAATCTCCTATTATTTTATCGAATTTTTATACAAATTATAAAAAATCCTTTTATGTAGATTAATGTATGTTTCTTTTACCATCAAAAAAAAAATTTATATCGCGCAAATTCATATTTGCTATGAATAATTCGGTGCAATTAAAATATTATTAAAATTCCATTTCCCCATGCTTTTGTTTAAATTCTCCTTGTTTCGTATTATATAATCCATTATCAAAATTTTTTTAATTTGTTTTTAGTTATCCATCAAGGTAGTAAAATAAATTTATTGTCGAATCCTCTTATGGTAATAAGCTTAATGACACCGTACCACCAGGGAAAAATAAGTTTATTTTTTTTTTTTGATGGCGTAAAAATTGGTTTGCAAGTGATCATATGAAAATGATTCCCAGATTTTTAGTTTACCTTAATCGATGAATTTAAAAAAAAATATATATAATATGATGTTTTTTAACTATCACCGAAATCACGGATGGTGAAAAGGCTTGTTTAGCTGTTGTATTACCTTTGTGATTCCTTTTCACTACGGCCAATCGACTATCTAGATGCGTTACAGAAGCATTCCAATCAAACTAGGTTAGACAATTAGCATCGTTTAGGCAAAAAGGTTTTTTTATTTTTATTTAAAACTGTTAGATCATTTCCTTAAATCAATATCTACGTAATTTATTTAAAATCTAATTTAGCGTGTATGGTTTCGCAAGCTTGATAACCAATAACAATCATAATAAAACGCACGTTTTCTCATTTATCTATTATTAATAGGTTATTAAACTATATCAAACTAAATTTAACTATATTAAAAAAAATAATGAATGATTAGACCAAGATCAATGACGATTTGATATTTGTGTAAAATTGCGCAAAAAAAAAGAAATTTTGTTCATATGATGTATTACATGCATAAGATTAGGGGGTGAATTCATCATAAAATGTTTAGGGAAATTTAGATCCTGGAGAACATAACCTACACTTTAAACAGAATTGTTTACATGAAATCGGACAGATGATTGTTCTCCTTTTAAATTGCACGTTTGGGTAACCCTTAAATTTTTGAATTCTGATTTATGGAAATTTAAATCCATGCTGTTAATTCTTTTCGGGGAAAATTCAATGTAAAGAGATATTTAAATAATAAATAACATCAAAAGGAATGTATTTTTGGAGAGTTGGGAAATTCTCAAATGTATGAGAATTTGTTTTATTCTCTGCATGATTGTTTATTTTTATTAATTTTTTTTTAAAAAAAAAATTAAAAATAAAACAAATAATTACTCATCTGATATGGTTCAATACTTGCTTGCATGTTTGCATTTCTTACCACATACCTTAATTATGGTAATAATCTTTAAAAGGTAAATATTTTTCTGTTTCCAATTCCTTTGGAAGCAAACTGTGTCATAATTGTTACGAACCGTTTTGCGACTTTGTTTTTTATTAATTGATGCAAGGTAATTAAATTGTGTGCTACAATAATATTTTATAAAGTGGATAAATTAATGTTTATTTTGTCAAAATCCAATAATAGAAATTTTAGGATCAATTTTTTTGACGAAAAAAGAAATTTTTCAAAATATAATAAAATAATTTTTTTTTTGTTTATAAAGATTTGTTTATCAAAAGTATACTATTTTGATAGAAATGCATGTCAAAAATTACGTTCTGGTTTGAAATTGATTTGACATTTCAAAGAAAAAACGCGTGCATTGCAGTCAACTGTCTATAAATGCACACTCTACAAAGCACGACAATGTGTACTTTCCCTTAATGCCAAGCTTTATGTGATCCGAAAATAATTTACTCTCCATAAAATATACATCTTCAAATGCCATTATTTCCGTTGTAAAAAAAATTATCATCTGCATGGGGTGATTTTAATTCGGCCTGGCACTATAATCGGCCCGAGTTACAGAGGTTGGTAATGTCGGTAAACATTTTTCATCCAAAGGGCATTAATTCCGGCCGGAGCTAAGATTTAGTCGAATTTCTCACGTGATAAAGTGGTCGTCTTTATGCACGAGCCGTGTCACGTAACTCACGTAACAGTACGACGGTTATAAAATAATCTCGGAATCGTCCATTGTTTTTTAACCCGATATCTATCGATGATAAATTGAATCAGTTACACAATTATTTGAAAAGGAAGAAAGCAAAGCGGCTCTTGAAAAAAAAAAAATAATAATTTTAGGTATTGTTATTATTTCATAAAAAGTTTCTGTTTCTTCACAATTAAATTCGAGGAAAAAATAAATAAATGCGCGCCGTTGTTATGACCCGCAACATATTGACGCCAACAATTACTATTCATTTCTTATACGACTATACAACATCAACAAACCCGCATACAATCAAAAGAAAAAAGATTTCTTTCTTTAGATAAAGAATCTTTTTTTTTGTTGTTTATCAAAACCATTCATGAGATTGGTAGTTAACATAAATTCATGCAGGGTCCTTTTGACAGTTTTGTTATTATTTTGATGCGCACGCGATTAGATGATCTTGCTTTTTTATCTCTTTTACAAGTTAGGATCAGGAAATTTTTTTTTTTTCTTGGTGTGATTTGTTTGGTAGTCATTGCGGTCTTTATTGGCGTAAGATAAATATTTAACGCGAAATGTTGAGAAACGAAAACGACTAATTGTTATTGAGCGTACAATTGGTTTTGGTCTTATTCTCTCGTTGTCGTTTCTTTTTCATTTCAAAAAATTTTGCGTTACATCAAAAAAATTTTTTTTTGTGATACATATTGTATTATAGTTTTACATTCTTATAACTAATGTTCAAAAACCTGTTATCATCAATTCGACTTTAAAAATCATGTCGGAGAAATGTTTACGTAATAATTACATATCATGTAAATGTGATGATGAGCCGCATTATCATACAACAATAACAATATTGTGAACGCGTGTGCATCAAAGTATTAAGAATAATATAATCCAAGAATAATGTTGGTTTTACGCGTTTTTATTTTTTTCATTCTAATGTAAGCCACAATGTAAATCTTTGCATAATCGCAAAAAAAAAAATTTTATTGTCAAAAAAAAAAGGAAGATCTTGCACAATTTTTCTTGCGATGGTAACGATGGTAACAATAATTGTTATTTATCATTTTTTTTTTCCAGAATATTTCATAGCATTTCGAATTAAAAATTATGGCTATTCGACGTCATTAAATCAATCATTTGTGATTGAATGAAGCAAATAAAAAAAAAAATGCGGTAAGAATGTCACCGCAAAGTATGAAACATGTAAATAAAAACACATTTATAAGAAAGAGAATTATTTGATACGTCGAGCGGGATTTCACATGTGAAACAAATGAAAAGAACAAAGAAACTTTTTTTATTAATCAAAAATAATTCGTATAGGAATCAAAAGATAGATAAATTTGGAATTTAATTCCGTGTTATGAAATCCTGGGGTTACTTACGTTATCTACCTTGCATCGGCATTACGCCGCAGCCGTTCTTATAATGATGTTCCGTAATTGTATATGACATGCTCGTTTCAACGTTGATTATTTGATTTTATTGTTCAAACAATGGGACTAAAAAATGGCACGTGTTCGCATTTTACCATTTTTTACCATTTTGTTTGTGGCACAGCTACGAACGAAAATTACTCGGAGTTCATTCGGAGGATTATATTATAAAGGTTCCAAATATGATAAATTATTTCCCGAATTACTGATTATGAATTTTTTTAAAAGATGTTTTTTCGGAAAATTGATAACCTGAATTCCAAATTGAGGTGACAAAAAAAAGATTTCTTTTTTTTTTAAAGAAAAATTTGTCATCGACAATCAGAATTGTATCTACACCATATGAAGAGAAGAAAGCATCGTTACATATCTTTTATGATATTTTCTTATTTTCTTTAATAATATGTATATATATATATATATATATTTGTTCCAGCCGAATTGAATTTTTTTTTCTTTATTTTCCTTTTTTTTTTTTTTTTTCCTAATCAGCCCAAAGTGAAAAACAAGTGAATAAATTTTGTCTAGGTTGAGGAAATTATATAACCGACGTGCATTTACATGCATTTGAAAATAATTTTGTATCATCATTTCCAACGTTTTTTTCCTCTCGTGACCATGTTGATCACGCAGCAATATATAATGCACGGTTAAAAAAGCACCAAAAATTTTATTCACAACTTTAAATTAGAAACTTACCTAAATTTATATTATAAATTCCTAATTTATATATTACATAATCTCTTTATAATCATTTAGTAAACTTTTTTAGGTTTTCATTCAATTCTGATTACAAGTACATGAAAACAATAATTCTTTTCGTTGGAACCAATAATTTATAATCCTTATTGTAACGTTAATATGATTTACATGAAAAGGAACTCGTTTTGGATCTGGATAAGTAAAAAGGATAAAAAATCCTGCTTTTACGGAATTTTCTAAATAGAAGATTCCGTTGAACCGGGTCATTTTCTTCCAAATTAACCTATCTTCTGAAAACTTTAAGTAAATCATGTAAAAAAAAACTTATTAATCAAGATTTTACTTTACACAATTCATTTCCACCTAACCATTCACGAAACCTATTACTTCCATCATTTCTTACAATCGAATCAAATGATATTAATTTACGATTAACTAAGAGGATTAGTAATACATAAAGTTATGATCTAACGTCACTCAATGACTATATTGAGCTAAAACCAATTATCGCTAGAACATGATAGAATATTCCGAATGCATCTCGGGCATGGTTTTTTTAAAAAAAAAAAAGAAAATTGGAACGCGTCTTTGTAAAGGAAAAAAAAAACGCGTAATCACATAATAATTTTTTTTTTTTAAAAAAAAAATTTCAATATAGAAATTTAGTTGGCAATTGATTTAAATTTTTTTTTATTATTTATTTTTTTCTCTTGGTAGTTTAAAATTATCTTAATTTTTTTTTAAAAAAAAAGATCGAAAAATCATAATTTGTAAATAAAAAAATAATAATCTTAATTTATATCCTGTACAGGATTTAAAGAAGCTATATAAAAATGTTGGCTGGTTTTAACATAGTCATGAATTTTGTTGCTGTAATATAACCAAGAAAAAAATGATGCGAGAAATGTAAAGATTTTAAAAAAGGTGATGGAAAGGGGAAGAAAAAATTCGTCTATTAAAAGTATTTACAATTTTGGGGATTTTAGAGTTTTTTTTTGAAAAAAATATTTATACAAGTTTAGAGTTGTAAAAGTTGAGATATTTTACATATACGAAAGAGATTAAACGCATATAAAAAATATCAAACTCGGGCGAAATTATATCTTAATATTAATATAAATATTTTTTTCTGTGAATCTATATATACGATGTTATATCCCACTCACTCTATAATAATGAATTCTATATATGGGTATTTTTTGTTTAATAAAAAAAGGAAATCTATAAAGTCTATATATTAATTTGAATGCGTATAAAAAATCGATTAAAACAAAAGGAAAGGGGAAGAAAGTATTAAAAGGTTGGTGTTGCTGGTAATTATATATAACAATTTACAAAGACCTAAATCCGATCGTAAAAAATAAATTATGAATAATTTTGGTAATAAATAAACGAAATTATTAATAGATGTAAAGAAAGAAAAAAAATGCTGTTTAGGGAAGTCGGTAAGAAAAATGAAATGTTTCGGTTTTAAAAAAAATTGTCGCCACAGAATTAAATATCATCACAGTCCCAATCAACTTCCATATCCAATTCAACCCTATGTTCTTCCAAAAATGCTTTGACTTCATCGGAATCAACCCAAAGATTATATTTCAATAGGCCAAGAAAAGAACGTTCCATTGTATTTACATCTTTAACGTTGTAAAGACCACTCGTGATTTCCGCGATGGACTTGTTTTGAAGAGAATGATCACTTAAATATTTACTTGCTACTAAGATAGCCGATAAAAAGATCTTATAAGGGGTGTCAAAATCTCCACGAGCTTTTGAAGGTAAAGTTTTCTTTAACCTATGAACGTAAATCAATCCGACTATCATCGTCATTTTAGAGATATTCGATTTTACGGTAATATCTTTAATAAAATGAAGGAGATTGGGTAAGGAAGCATTTTTCAAGGATCGTTTGGAACATTGGAGTACAGAGTCACAAGAACCCGCAGTAAAAGCTGTTTTTATAAAAAAAAAAATCATTTTTAGTTTAGTGAAATATTAGATGAAATCTGAAGTGCTTCTAAAAGTAAAAAGGATGTATCACAGCATTCACAATAAATATCTATCTACACTTTTGAAACAAAACAATTGGTTCACTCTTAAATTAAACACAACAAAACAGTACATAATCATTATAAAGATTGACGGAAATGAGTTTTTGAATTATAAATAATAACAATACTTACACATAAGGGCATCCCCACCTAAACCATTATCTCCGTTATTGTTAAGAATTAATTTGCAAGGCATCGTTGTTGTGGGGTGTTTTTTTTTTTGATGATTTTTATCAATGAATAAAAAAAAATTTTTTTATTTATTTTCGAACGATGTGGCTTAACTTCTATTTATTTCTTCTAAAAGCAAAAGGAAGTGATTTCTCGAGATTTATTTCTTAAAAAATAGTGGTTGTTAAGAGAATCTAATGTTTTACTTGTACGATGATTGATTTGAGCAAATGAGTTGAAAGCCAGCTTTACAAAATAAATAATTGAATAAAAAATTTTTGAATTGTAATAAACGAATCAAAAAAAAATTTTCTTTGTGAGATTGAGCGCGTGTTTATAATTTACAAGAGTACAAACGTAAGGCTCATTAAAATGATAAGCGTTTAAAAAAAATTCGAAATTCGATTTGATTCGGTTTGTTGTTTTATGAAGAAATAAAAAGGAAATTATCACAATTCGAAAGTTATCGTGGTAATGAAAAAAAAGAAAAGGAAGTTATTTTTCGCAATGAAAAACCAGTAATATCAACAAAATGATATTACATTTAATAAAGGGAAATAAAAAAAGTATTATTTGAACGAGTTAATATTTAATGATTTTGTGTATAAAAAAAAAAAATGGAAAGAAAAGAAATGAAATGAAATGAGTTGTAACTATTACACAAGGAGAAAAGGAAAAAAAATATATATATAATATTTCAATTTGTCAACTTCGTGACAGAGGCGATGCAAATTAGCAATGATGCCTTCTTTCGCAAAGGTCAGAAAGCATTGTCAAAATTGAGGGTTTAAATATTGGAACAAATGGAACAATTAGGATGTATATATGTGGCTATTTTTTTTTTTCCTGTTATATTAAAAAAAAAATTCTCGGTAAAACCTGGAAAAATGCAGAAATATGCAACAGTAAAATCTCCGCGAAAAGATAAAATTGATGATACGCGAAAATAGTTTTTTTATAAATAAAAAAATTTTCGTTCTAGTAAAAGTAAGGTAACAAAAGGCGTTGCTAAGGAAGAGAGTTTTGAATTTTAATTGTATAATTTTTTTTTAATTTTATGTGCGCTATCCCTATTGGAAGGTCCACGTATAAAATCGGAGGTACAATATAAATTATAATGTATTCGCCCTGAAGGTTTTAAATAATAATAATAATAATAATAATCAACTTTTAAACAAAGTCTTATATACAATGAGCTATATTATATACTAAACTAAAATTTTAAATTAAATTGTTAAAAAAAAAAAAAAAAAAAAAAAAAAATTATAAATGCGATTTGCACCAATCAAAATAATCTAATATCCGATTGGGGAGGTACATTTCAACTCCATTTAAAAAGGGCGACTTGCATATTGAATTGGGGCTAGGACTTGATGCATTAAAAAAAAGGCTGCTGTAAATAAATAACAGATAAGCTGAGATAAGATATATAATTATTGTATATTACAATTACAGTTTAAAATGAAGGTAGATCACGAAAATATTTTTATATCAGGTCAAAAATATATATATATAAATTTTTTTTTTTGATTTTTTACGATATTAGATATATCGGTGATAAAATCAAGATATGAGATAAACACGCACCATCATCATTCCCAGAGAATTCGTATGGTTACGTAATTCTTCAAAAGAAAATTTATATTAGAAATAAATCGTAAATAAGAGTAATTTTTGGTAAATTAACCCATTTATATCATTCATTCATTGTTTTATAAAGCTGCTCATGTAAAACGGACAATTGTTTATCCATGAATATGATTTATACGGTATTTCTCATAATCGTTTCCATGAACTTATCATGTTCATCAATAATTGGTTATCTTGGATCATATATAAACTTGCTTAACAAAATTCATTTGTTAAGGGATGCATAATATGGATATCAAATTTATGTTGCGATTTAATCTTTTTGGGGATCATTTGCGCCACATTTTTTTACACGTTCAACCAATGCAATGTTTGTTGTTAAAAAAACGTGCGCTTTTAAGGTAAAAATATACTAAATGGATATGTTTTCCCTATAAAGAAGTATCATGTGGCACATGACTTTTAACTTTAACCAAATTTATTCACTTCTAGAATCCATTGTTCTCTGAACATTTCCTAGGTTATCAAGTTTGAACTTCATTAACATGTGAGAAATCCATTGCCTCCATATAAAGTAATTTAATGATATCTTTCTTTAAATACCCATGAGCCAATCAAATATTGAATTTATTCAGTCCACCCAATTCGGGTGAATGACTTTAAATGGAAAGTCAATGTAATCCTTTCTATTTATAGACATGGAAATTTTGAATCAAATTTCGCTCAACATTTTATATACTTTTTTGGTTGAATGCCAATTTTTAATTCTAATTTCCCCATTTTACCGATGAAAATTGTGTTACATTTACCTATTTGTTACGTTTAATGATAAAGAATACACCATCGAATAAAAATATTCGATTAATGAGAATTTATTATGTTGTACGATAGTGAAATTTTTTTATTTCCACAAATACAAAATAAATTAAAGTAAATTAAAAAAATTTAATATAAAAAAATATATATACAGGTATATACACCTTAGTAAGTGTTATACAGAATTTCTTTCGCTTTCTATAGCCGTGTGTATTCAATGCGAAGCATTGTTAATCTAATCCTATAATAGTAAAAAAAAAAATGAGAATCATAAAATCACCAAATATAGACCTACAATAATAATTAATGATGATTGATGCCGTAATTTCGAGAAAGTTTTTCAATCAGCAAGTTGATAAGAGAATAATAAAATTAGAACGTTTACTCCTTATTCGTTCGAAACTCATTTTCTTTGATACTTGAATATAGCCCGTATCAATAAGACATCGTTATATTTATTCTTCCATTACTTTAGCCCGAGTATAAATTATCTGAGATAATCAAAAAAAAAAATTTCCTTGTTTGATAATAACCGAAATTTATTGCATACAATCTCTTATTTTTACGTATTCAAAGATAATTACATTATTGGATTATTAGCATACATTCGTATTTATAGATCAATTGTCAAAAAAATTCTTTATTAAATTAGCCCAAAGAAAGTAATTCTGTTTGATGGCGCAGAAAAATCAAAAAACCAACTAACTATAATTGCGCTTATACAATTTTAGTAGTCGGTTTTTAATTTCAGGTTTGTGTTTATACTCCGTTTGTTTATGCACTGCGCCGAAATTTCACTGAGTTCAGATTTTTTCCTTATTTGACTAGTGATAAATGGGAAGTTGCACAAACGGACTATTTATTTACTCATGCCTGCGTCTTGAACGTTATCCTTCTAGAATGACATAAAAGGATTAATGCTTTCGGCGTGCCTTAATTTAATTCCCTTTCAACATTTTGGCCTCGGCCAGTAATCTAGCTTAGACGTTCAAGTCGCATGTATCTTAAAGGTGGTCCCATGAAATCTTGGAAAGTAAAACAAATACTTTGGATTCAATATATCTGTTTTCCGGTCAACCTCTTTTTTCTTTGTGGACTAATTTCAGTTCTATTAAATTCTTTAAAGGACATTATTTGATCTATAATTTTTTTTTAGTTGCAACTATACCGGAAATAATAAAGAAAATAAAAAATAAAAAGGAATTTAGATTTATATATTTTGATATTGTTTATTATTTGTTTAATATTTCCCTCGATAAAGTTAATATTAATTTTTAATTCGGCAAACAAAACTGAAACTTTAACACATGTAAAATAATTAGCTGATTAATAATCATTTTAATATATTGTCAAATCCCCGGGTTTCGCAAAATTGGTTTTTATGATTTACTTTTTGATGTTTTCGCGTGGCAACAATATTTTAATGATAATATCGTTTTTTTAATTTGTTTTCCAGAGTCTTTATAGTTTAAGGTCACAAATTTGGTTACTGAAATTTGAAACAATATTATTTGTCAATCAATACCAAAAAAACAATGACTTTAATGACTGCGCCAAAAATCGTATAATACCAACGATGCTACGGATTGTATATTTTATGAGATGGGAATACAATATTACACATTCTGCGTTATATTAAAATCAAGAGATTTTGTTTTTAAAAAAAGGTATGCGGTAAAAATTATTGATCATCTTTTTTCTAATTGATAAGAACCTTATAGATTAGATACATCTAATTAGCAAAAAGTTTCCTCATTTTTTTTATATCACTAAATCTAAAAAGGAAAATTTAACTTAAATGACCAATATCTCGTGGAAATACGTTTGATCACCTTCAAGCATCTCTGTCAAATTTGTTGAATTTATTTTTTTTTTTTTTACCCGTGAATTACCATTACGAATTAAGTTTTAAAACGCGTTATTTCTTTATACGTCAAAAAAACTCAAGTACCAAATTTGTACAATAAAAAATGTGGGGGAACTGTCATTGATGTGGGTAACTTGATTGTAGTGAACGAAAATAATGAATTGTTTGAAAAATAGAATTCCATAAAATGGGAAGTTCCTGATTAGGTTATTACCGATTGATGGGAATTTTTTAAGAATTACAATGATGTCAAAAATGCAAAGTACCTGCAAATAAGAATGACATAATCGTTAATTATTATAATGTATATCAATTAAATGCTACTTGGAATTGTCTCTTTAAAAGCTTAGTATCATATAAAGGAATTTAGGAAAAAGCTTCGTTAAAATAAATCATGAATTGTACCTTATTTCTTTTTATTTTGTTTTGCATAAACTTTCTCTAAGAATAGGAAATTGTTAAAAATGTTCTTAGCTAACAGTAACAGCTCAGCTAACAAATGATGTCTTATATAATATTATTAAAATTAAAATTATCTTTTTTTTTAATTAAACCTTTTTAAAAAATGTTAAAAGATACTAGCATATCATCAATATTATCATGATAAATTTCTGATTTTTGAGGGTTAAATAATATTTAATATTGTTAGATAAGTATATAAAATTTAGAAATTGATGCTCATTCTTTATCATTTTTAAAAAAAGCTTTTCTAAATATTCTGCATATTTATAAAACTATAATTTACAACCTTG